GCTGCTAGTCGAATTTCCGACATTTTTTTTTTTGCTGAGCAATCCATGCGGAGGTGAAAGGTCTTTGATTGAGTTTTATTATATTGTGAGAAAGGAACGAGCTGGAGGGCAAAACGAAAACCGCTAGCCTTGAAGTCGACAAGAGCACGCGAGTACCCGACACGAGCAAGCGACCAGTTTCGCCTCGGTCGGAGAACGACATGGACTCGATCAAGATCAAGGTCGAGACGAGCAGCGAGTGCTTGACGAGCAGCGAGCTGACGACCGGCGCCGTTACGACGAGATGATGCGCGAAGATCAGTGCCGTTTCGACGAGATGGTGCGCGAAGATCAACGCCGCAGGACGATCAGATGCGGAAGCCGCGAGTGCTTGGCGATCAACGCCTCCACGAGTGGATGCGCAAGCAGCAGGCCGCAATCGCCGAAGATCGACGCCGTCACGACGAGCAGATGCGCAAGCAGCGAGTACTTGACGATCAACAATACGAAGAGCGGATGCGCGAGCAGCTCGCTGGCGAACAACGTCGAAACAAAAAAGCGTGACGCTTCTACGAGCGACTGCGCCAGCAACCAGACGACCAGCGTCATCGAGATGAAGCAAACGAGCGCTTCGAGCGCGCGCACAAACGTCAAGTCGCCACTGAAGAGCGACGAGGCCAAGAGCCCACAGTCGATGCTGCCGCTCAAGCTCACCACAAACACGCGCAGCAGGAAGCGTACAACTTAACTACATTGAAGGCGCGTGCCACGATCAAGAATCAACCGCCATCGCCGAAACCACAAACACTGAGCGCCAACGCGCAGAAGTGACCACCGCCCAAACCAACATAGAGCGAGACGCACCAACCAATGCCCAAACCATCGAAGTCGACATGCGTCCAACTTACGAGGCCGCGACCGCAGAGACGCCAAAAGCCGAGAAGCTACGCCATCGGCAAGAACAAGTCCAAGGCAAGGACACGGCAACAAAGCACGCTAACTTGACCGTTCTACCAAGCAAACCGCCAGGAAAGTCGCCGCGTGTACTACCACCCACATCATATTCACGCGCCTGCGTCGATACCGATCCCGAGCCATCGCCAACAACCAGTGCGAACAACCCGCAGAGGATCAACTTGACCAAGAGCTCTGACTCGGTCAACATCGCCGTGTATGGCTCTAAGCAACGACTTGACGGCGACTTTTTGATCGCAAACCTTCACTCGCCGAGCCCCGACTTGATTGAGGGGGGACCGGAGATCCATACGCTACCAGTACCGCTCAAGGACACAGCTCTCAATCTCCGCAAGCTACTCAAGATCTACAGTACGATCAAGTATCAGTCGAAGGACAACATACGCGACACCAACGCGACTTCCAGATCGCGCATTTGGCCCGCAAGCAGCAGCACTTTCGACATCGTAACCGCGATCAACCTCTTCGCACGAAGACCACGAACCTCTCGCTCAAGTACGAGCCAAATCAACCAGTACGCCACGGACGTCTCCACTGACGCCGGTCGTGCTCGAAGCTCGAGACCAAGAACATGGCCGAACGCCGCACAAAGGACACGCCCATCGCGATCGACCACAAGATGTTCGACGACGGTGGTAATCCACAACTGACCATGACACATGTCCAGATCGTCGGATTGCTTCAATGGATGGCAACCCGCTACACGAGCAACCACAAGATCGACCACTAGACCACAACCCTCCGCATCCTACGCTACCTGTGGGAGACGAAGCACTACCGCCTCGAGCTCAAGCCCGACGGCTCACGAGCGATGGACGTATACACCGACACCGACTGGGCCGGAGAGAAGTCGAACTGACGCTCCACAACGGGCATGGTCACCAAGTTCAACCGAACCACTGGTCGTCCAAGCAATAAACACGGTCGTTCTCTCGACCATGGGAGCCGAGTACATCGGCGCGCGCACCGGCACGCAAGAAACCCGCTGGACCAAGCAGCTACTCGACGAGATCAAAATGGTCAAGGCCAAGGAGCCAATCAACTTGTGGGTCGACAGCCAACGTGCACTCAAGATGATGGAAGATCAAGTATCGTCCACGCGAGCAAAGCACATCGACACCAAGTACCACTTTATCCGCAATGTTGTCGAGGAAGGCGTAGTCACCACTGGCTACTGCCCAGCCGGCGAAATGCCGGCTGATGCGATGACCAAGCCGCTCTCTGGCAAATGCCTTAACCGCGCGCTCGAAACATCAAGACGCCCAACTCGCCATCTTGTACCAAGTACAACTTGAAGGCGCGTGTTGGAAGTTGTATATCGCACTTACTACAAGATAGTCAAAGGCTATAAATATCACTCTACATTTCACCGACTGTACGAGTCATGAGTGTGGCGACAGCCCCAAGGTGGGTCTTCCAACAATTACGAGGTAGCCACATGCGCCTTATCCGTGGTCAAAAGACAATAGTATCGTTATGGGGATGGCTGTCCATGCGCCACAACGCGCTTCACATGCAACATTCGCAACTCTTACGGCCATAACATCTTGTCAGGCGGTTTATTACCGTGATTACAATGGGCTTCTTTTTCAAGTGGTCCATCGTCAAGCTACTTGATCGACCAGCAGCTCGTGATTTTTTCCCCACTCCCGCACCGTCAAGCCTCAGCGGAGCACGAGTGGGGAGACCAATCAATGCACCGCAGGGCCACGTCATGCGCGTTCGCGGTCGTGAGCCAGACCCGTGTTGCGTAGCTCCACTTGGATGGGACCGTGGGCCGACCTGGAGCTGCAGCACCCGAAGGTACACGGGAATGCTCACTTGAACTCGCGGGCTGATGGAAGTCGTTGGCTTGGCGACCGACGCGAAATGTCGGGTGGTCGGATGTTGATGAAGGTTGAATGCTCGTGATGCATTGAATGCTCGTGGTGCCGACACTGGTCGAGTTGTTTTGTATTGGCCTTTTGGTCGGTAGTAGTACATGAAATGTTTTCGTTCTGGCGCTGGACATGTTAGCTTGTTTTCGTTCTGGAGGCGTGGAGCTGGGCGGCGTGGCGCGTTGGATTTGTTTTCTTTGCTTGGGTCGATGTCTTAGGTTTCGGGGTCGGATGATACTAGTATGGATCTTGATGCTAAAGGGTGATGGCTGATAGCGTTGGCGGCGGCGGTGGGGCTGGCTAATTTGTGGTCTGTGCTGTGTTCATGTGGGTTCTGTGTTGGATCTGATGTTGGTTGTGCCCCCCCCTGACTGTTGTTTTTGTTGTTGGTTAGCTGGAGCATGATGTTGTCTTCCTCGGATACGTCGTCTTGTACATCTTGGCGATGAGGTCCTCATCGCTCTGCGTCGCTTAGTCTGATAGTGCGGCTCGCATCAGGCGAAGGCGTTGACTAGCGAGGCTTCCTACTGCCGCCAGGGGTACATAATAGTAATAGTACTATTATGTACCCCTGACTGCCGCGGCCTGGATGACTGACGGCCGCGCCTCTGAGGACGAGACCACTAGTCGGTTGGTTTCGCTTGCGGAACTGCTGGAAACCCTACATCGTCAATCATTTGTCCTCGAAACTACTGATTGTAGTCAGGGATGGTGAGAAATTCCCATTTTCGTCGTCCATGAATACAGATTCATTCATGATTCAAAGATGCGTTAAGCGAGCCTACTATGAGTAGATTCAGAGCCTACTCTACAGAGCTTTTGTGCTTCTTTGACGGCGCCTTCGTGGGAGCCATCGCCGCCGAACGAAGTGTTGCAGCGACGTTCATGTCCGACTCGGTCTCGTTGTTGCTGGTGTTGAGGTCGAAAAAGTTGATGAGCGTTGCGGCAGCTTGCGACACAGATCTAGTCGACTCGAGGGTATCGGCGAGCTTGTGGTCGTCGGTATCGGACCGAATAAGCTTCTTGTTAAAGGCCAGCACAAGTAGCATCTCGAACTGGCGTGGCCGAGGTTCTGGCGCAACGGCGAGTCGATCAACTTGAGAGCGAGAGGACACGCCAGCTCACTGGCCGCAATGCGCTCGACAAGTCGTTGGAATTCGTTCTTGTGTCACCAGAAGTTGATGTCGAGAAGCTTGTTGAGGTAGACCCAGTTGCGTCGAGCTATCTTCGCCTCGGAGTCGTCGGCAAGGTTGCAGATTTGCACGCGCTTGAGAAAATCAACACTGCAATTTGTAGTGTTGCAACATGAACCAGGGCAGGTAGTCATTTCCTTTTCCACTACAGATGACGACGCAGCATGTTCGAGCCACAATGCTCCTGCAGATCACGACATCTCCCTTCTCAAATTGAGTTCACATTCGGAGGGCAGCGTCTCCTTGCGATGCAACACCGCACACGCCAACTGGTACTCGAGCATCGGACGTAAATGCCGGCTAGGCGACTTGTATAATGCACAACTTGGCATATTGCGCAATTCAATGCGCCTCGACGACGCGATGACTGGAACGACGATTTTCCGCTTCGGCGCCTTCGAGCTCAAGCACCCGGCGGTATCGCTTACATTCATTGTTTAAAGATATCGTCGACGAGAAGGCGGTCGCGTTAAATATCCTCTTGCGACTTGCGCACAATGCGACGGCAGCGCTTCTTGAAAGCGTCTTTGTCGTTTCTCCATTCGACGGCTGCGTCTATGTTTGCCGGCGAGTCGTCGTTCGGGTCCGAAAGCATCGAAATGACGGAAACGAGGATTGATTCGACGCCCAATATTGGGCGCCATCGCTCGTCGGCAGACTCTTGCGCGTTCATTTGGTCTTCACCGGGCGGGTGCAAGATCGAGATGCACACGACGCCGCTCGGGTATACGTTCGGGTGCCACATGTCCGAGATGAAGGTCATCTTCGGGGGCATGTTGGGAAAGTCCTTCGGAAACTCGAGGCGCGCGCGAAAGAAACCGCCTTCGTACAGCGTATCGGGGGGACCCACGAGCATGATCTCCCAGTGGAAGATGTTTTCGTCGTCGCCGAGGCCGACGCTGACGCCCTCTGGCGGGTTTCGGCTCAGCTCTAGGTGTAGATTCAAGGATTGAGGTTCCTTCTTCATCTTCGGCCTCAAGCGGGCTTCCACTTACCCGTGAGCTGGCGGCGGAGGAGTTCACGGCCGTAGTCCATCTCGGTCTCTTCGTCACCCAAAGGAAATTCGCGAATGGGGCAACAGCACCACGTCGAGAGTTCGATTTTTGACCAATCACAAAAATTCGAACAATCCACCAATCAGGCAACCTTCTAGAAGCCAACATGGACATGTCTTGGAGGACTGGCTGAGTCGAAGATCTCGCCAATGGCCTGCACGGGCATGTCGAGGACAACTCCGATCAGCAAATGGCCACTGTCGCTTTCACCACACTGTCGGCGCTACGTAGATACCAGCGACACGTACATCGAATATGCCGGCTCGCGGTCGAAGTCGACTTGTGAATGCGCCTCTTCAAGATGCTCCACTAGTACGTGGCTCCACGTCAACTCGCGTTTGGCGTGTCTATAGTGCGTGCGCCTCGACACAATTTGCTACGCCTGCGGCTATGGCGCCGTCAAAATGCAAATACAAGCGTTCTGCGGCTGCGAGGTCGTCCGCCAACGGTGAGCGCATCGTACTGGCGCCTGGCGGCGCATCGGCGAGACATGTGTGTGTGGTCTACGCTCTCAGCCATCGACCGTTGTCCCTTTTACGACCGCGGCGCCCTGTACAAGGAAGCGTTGTGTGTGCCCAGGAAGCTCGTCGTTGCGTCTGTGTTCCTCTCCTCTCAATTCTCAACTCAGAACAACCGCGTCCAGCGCGACCACCAGCAGGAGCTTTCAGTCGCCACGTAGAATGATCTATATATCCTTTGTCAGTCGTACAGCGTCTGTGCGTCGATAGCTCCGGCTTCAAGACGACGGCCACCCAGAGCGCGCCGCCGCCCTCGACGTCGTGGCGATGTTGCACGACCAACCCACCTACCAAGAGCTCGTCGCCAAGTATCTGCATCTGCTGTCCGTCGCAGCGCGTGACTTAGTCCCTTAACATGTCGTGCATCTTCGCCTCTGTCTCCAATTTTTTATGCACCCCGTTTCGCTGTGCACTCGACCCCGATGCACTGCACCAATTTAAACTTGACGATTTATTAACCCACAATTAAATCTGTTTTCGGTTTTTGATATTGCGCGCGCTCGACACGATCGACCATGCTGAGATCATTTCGGTCTTCGTAGATACTTCAACAGCGATGAAGTGGGCCTCACCCGGGGGTTTATACTCTTGCACATACCTTTGCGCAGGCACGAGTTGGCAAGCGAGTGAAAGATTGCCAGTCTCCAAGTACTTGAAGTTTTCGTGCATGGGCCTGTTTCACGTTATGTTCGTAACAAATTAGAAGCTGAGAGGATGGTATATACCTGCTTTCAACACTATTAATCTTAGTTCTGCTTCCATTGGTAGGACGTGACGAGGCTTAGTTGGCCGCATGCCTACGAAGGCGCTGAATCTGATCTGTGTAGGCAGTCATTTCTTTTTTCGAGACTTGGAAAGCAGCTTGATGGTCCGCGTGCGTCGCCTCCATGGCGACCAACGCTCGCTCGAGAACGTCAACGGTCTCGGCCGAAGCATCATTTCTACAGTGGCATGAGCGTCTGCCGTCAGTAAATGCAAAACAAAGGACGTACGCGCGCAAGCCGTTGAGATGGCTTCGAACTGCCTGCATCTGGTGCTTGTGCATTTTCCACTCGAGCTTCTTCTGTTGCCAGTAGTGCAGTCGGCCTTCCATTTCTCGAAGAGCCATCTCGAGATGCTGCACAGGACTGACAGTTGGTTTTGAACCCCTCGTTGACGGAGTAGCTTCGTCTGCGGGACCGACGAAGATAGACGAAGTCTCCTCGACTTTTGTTGAGTCTCGTAGGAGCGTCTCTTGGTCAAACACTGCATAGGCGGGTTCTTGTAGCGATGACATCGCGTCTGTCGGTCGAACGAAAGTTTGTATCGCCGCGAGCGATTTGTCGAATGTATATTGCACGTCGTACTTGGCCACACCGTGCACGTTCACGTCGTTGACGAGAAGATCCACCGGCTTTCTCGGTGCCGGCCTTGAGATTCGCGCCGCGGGTGCCATATCGATGCCGCTTACCCCAAGCGTGCGTAAAGTCGGCGATACCTCGTATCGAACGGAGCTCGAGCTGGAACGATTTGGGCGTCGCCCTCGAAGCGCCACATAGCGCCAGTGCGAGGCGATTTGGGCCACTTTCCGCCAAACACGCTGGGCCCGTGTCGCCGCCTCTTGGGCCACTGCCTGCACTCGTTGCTCTCGCAATCGAAACCCCGCTGTTGCCCTACAGAAAGCGTGTAATTACGGAAACGGTCAATTTGACTCACCAATGCAACATTCCTTGCTGGAGAAACATGCAACGGCGCCACTCGAGAGCCTGCAAAATATCAAGTTGTGAATATCAGCACGAACGGGAGAGAGCTCTTACTTCCTGACGTGCGTTGCGCTTGTGCGCGCGATGGAATCTATATGCTCTCCAATAGCGAAAAGCGCGGGCTTGCAGCTGATTCTTCCAGTGCACCAAGGCTGTTGCATGCCGGACCTTAGTAAGCTTGGCTTCTTCAAGCCTAAAATCAACTCATCAAATTAAAGCTACAGACACCGTCATGCATACCGTTGTCGCCAAGCCATGAAAACAGCACGTTTACGCTGACTTGCGTCGTGCACGGTGGCTTGATGGCGACGAATCGCACTCCATCGCTTTTCGCCCACGACTTCGATCCAGTGCTCGTATAGTCGCCGGAGGAGATTGTTCTGGTAGTGGCCCGAGGCACGCTGTCTACAGATCATAACTTTGTCATTTCCGTGAGCAACTATTGGGAGCACCATTACCCCAAGAAACGTAAAGTTGTCTTCTCAAGGCAACGTTCCCGCCAAACCTCGAGCGTACGAGCCTGTACCCTTCCGTGGAGCTGTCTTGTAAGCCTTACTCCGGCTGCTCGCCGCCGTGATGCGGCCGTTGCGGCTATTGGCAGCCAAGCTCGGATAATAGAGCCAAGAAGCTATAAATATCATTTGGGTCCAAGGTGCAGTGTATTTGGCATGACATACCTGACGCCGGTAGTGGTGCGTGGCTCGTTGATCCTCGCGCTTGACCCTGGTGAGTTGGACGACACAATACTGCCAGTCGTAGAAAGCACGCTCCAGGACAACGCGGTTCTTCAGCTTTTGTAGTGGTAACACACTCTTGGTATCGCGAATATGGGAGCGCCAAGCATCAAAGTGTTTGGCGCGGCCCTTTCGCTGCGCGAGGCGGCCGAGGGCGACGAGCCGTAGGGCAGTAGCTAAAACCCGTGCTTGGAGGGACAGAAGACCTTTCTTGAGCAAACTGCTGTAGCGAAATCGAAGCGCACGCCGACGCTTCAAGTCCTTTTCGCGCTTCCTGCTAGACTCGATCGCCCACGCAGTAAAGACTTCCTGTTCGAGGCGTGGCATTGCTCGTTCTTTGCTCAGCCACACTTGACTCACCAGTGCAAAAATGTAATTAGTGTGAATGATAAGAGTCTCGTATTGGTGTGGTGACACAAAGCAGACGAACATACCCACCATCAATCGCCCTTGCGCACATTGTTCAGAATAGATGCTAGCGCGCACACTTTCCTTGGCCGACAGGTCGCCTTTGTGGCCCGTGAAGTCAGTCTTGACGTAGCCTGGGCGCAGGAGTACAGTCGAGATGCCACGCGGTTCCATGTCGACAGCCAGCGTCTTGGCGATTCCGTTGAGGGCCGTCTTTGACGCGCGATATGCATGGTATCCACCTTGCTTATTGAGCTGAATACTGGCAATCTTGGTTGAGAGGAAGGCGGCAATCATGAGATCATTTTGCTTGGCCGCAAGCTTTAGGTTGGGCATGAGCGCCTTTGTGGCAAGGAACGGGCCCACGGTGTTGACTTCCAACTGGCGCAAAATATATGCCTTCGTCGTCTTCGTGAGCGAGCTCTTGACGATGATGCCTCTATTGTTGATAAGCATGTCGATCGGGGCGTCAGCGCCAATCGCTGTTGCGGCGGTTGCTATTGATGCTTCATCAGCGACGTCAAGGGCAACAATGCCTTCAGGCTCTAGGCTTCGAAGCTTGTGCGTTCATCAGGTCAGTGCTTGACGAACAAAGCAGTTGACGCACCTCGGTAGCCGAAGACGGGTTGCGTACGGCGGTAACGACGTTCCAGCCCAGGGCCTTGTAGTGTTTGACCAGCTCGAGGCCAATACGTACCTCGGTTCGCACCCGTGATGAGAACACGCTTTGCCATGGCGGGATGGAGCCTCTTGGCGATGACAATTGTACTCATCCGGCACAGCCTATTGTTATACCACGGTATCCACGGCGCCGGACTCCGTAGACCCAACTTCACAATCTGCATTCGTGGCGTACAGTGGCGTACAGTTATGCAATGCACTCCACTCGCATATATTTATATATGAACGTGTTTCGCGTTATCTTCGTTGTTACCAAGAGTTCGCATACGTAGAGACTAGCAATCTCCTTCATTCACTCGCCAGGCCGTGGCTGCGCAGGCGGCGGTGCGGGGGGCATCTTGCTCTTCCGTAGTCGCCTGGGGGCACTCGCGGCCGCGGGTGAGGCCCACGACGACAAGCTCCGTGAATTCCTTCCAGTCGTCGTGGTCGGCGGCAAAGCTACGCAGTTTGTTGAGGTCCTCGAGAGACGCCAGCGACTGAGGCGGCGTCAACGACTGGAGGTCGCGGTGCAGGACGATCGCATGAAATACTAATGTCCGATATCACAAGATTTGATTTCCGGGTTGGTGGCTTAACGTAAAACAAGCTGTCTCACATCCTGGGGGACTCTTACCACGGCAAAATACTTCCATCGATGTCGTAGTACTTGGCATTGTCACCAGGTTTTGCAGTATCGAGAACTGCCGCCATGCCGGCAATGCTCTCGGCTACTGTGAGCTCGCCCCGCATGTCATTCATGTCGGTTTGGACATAACCCGGATGGAGCAGCAACGTTGAGATACCCTTGGGCCCGAGCTCGATGGCGAGGGACTTAATGAGGCTATTGAGGCCCGTCTTCGACGCTCGGTACCCGTAGCAGCTACCGGCGACGTTGCATTCGATACTTCCCATTTTGGACGTGATATAGGCGGCAATTGCGAGTCCCTGCGTCTTCACGGCAGCGTTCAAGTTGGGCAAGAACGCCTTCGTGACGAGAAACGGCCCGACCGTGTTGACTTCGAATTGACGCAAGAGGTTTTCCTTCGTCGCGTCTGTCAAGGATCGACCGAGGAGAATACCAGCGTTGTTGAGAAGTAGGTCGATCGGCGTGTCGGGGCCAATCGTTGATGCCGCTGCGTCAATAGACAATTCGTCGATGACATCCATGGCGACAATGCGCTCGAGACCCAGCTCATGCAGCTAGGAATTCCGAGGACTCGTACGTGGTGTATATCATGATGGTCTGCTACCTCGATTGCTGTCGCGGGGTTGCGTACAGCCGCGATGACGAGCCATCCTTTAGCCTTGTAGTGCCGGGCGAGCTCGAGGCCAATGCCGCGGCTGGCACCCGTTATGAGTACGCGCTTTATCGCGGCCATCGTCTTGGTACCGGTACGTGAAAGTCGGCAAGAAGCAAAGTGATTAACGGTGTACGGCTTGTTACCGTCCACCTACATACATTTTGTACCGTGTAGCCTGCGACATGTGTGTCCCCGGAATTCCCACGAGTTCGGTACTGTAGCTCCACTGGCTGGCTTGGTGGGGCAGGCACAGTGGGGACAAGCTGTAGGGGTAAGCTATAGGGGTAGTGTTCCCGAAAATTTTCCAACCCTCCACGGAAAATGCACACAAACGATCAGCTCGCCAGATCCTATCTCCTGTGCGCGGTGGAGGTGCGTGATTGCCTTTACATGTTAAAACGCACCCAAATTGCATAGTGAGGTGCATTTCTGACCCAAACCTCGATAGAAGAGTGTATGGCAGGAGAGAGTGTCACCGGCTCTGGCCACTATTATTTAAAAATTGACGTCGAACGACACCGCACACATACAAACCAAAAGTAGATTCTGCATTAGGTGATAAATAAATACAATACGCCATATCCGGATAAGCCGGATACGTCAACGGAACTTTCGAAAGCGTGCGAAAGGTTGGCCCAAGTAAGCCCATTTTGCGATTATACCTCGACAATGGCCCACGGACCGACGGACTACGAGCATGCGTCAATCGACGAGCTCAACTCGATGATCGACTCGACAGCCGACACGATTCGCGAGCTTCGGGCAGACAAGTCCAAGATGGCCGAAGTCGCTCGTCACGTCAAGACTCTCGTGACCCTGCGTCGCCTCGTCAAGGAAGCCCAAGAGAAGGCCGCTGAGAACCAGCTAGTAGCTGACGAGCTGCCGGCAGAGTTGAAGGCTTCCTCTGCAACAGCGTCTACTGTCGGAATGGATGACAACCAGGCCGAGTCCAGCGGCCACAATGACGCTGCTGTGGCAGCCTTGAACGACGAGAAGAAGAAGCTGGAAGCGTCGCTCGAAGCAGCAAAGAAGTCGCACCTCGCGCACACTGCTGCCTTGGAAGATGAAAAGAAGAAGCTCCAGGCGTCCTTGAAGGAGGCAAAGGAGGCCCACGCTACCGCTGTCGCTGCCCTGCACAAGAACACACAGGATCTGGAGGCTACGTTGGCCGAGCTCACTATCGCAAAAGAAGCCCGTGACGCTTCCTCAACCAACAACGATGCCGATCGTCAGCGCCTCGCGACTGAGCTCGAGGTCGTCACTGCCAAGCTTATTTCTCTCGAGACGTCGTACAAGAGCGTCCAAGACGAGCTCTCGCGCGAGTCGCAACGCTATGCGATCGAGCTGGAGACGGCTAACAACTTCCACAAGCGCTTCCAGAATGATCTCAAGAAGGTGACACAGGAACGGCAGGACCTCGAGAAGAGCTTGAAGACGGCGGCCGACGACCACGCCTTTGCAATCCAAGGTTTGGAGGACGCTCTCGCCGCGAGCCGCGCGGAGCTTGAAAAGGAGTCGCAGGGCTTTTTTCTCCTCAAGGCCTCCGAGGCAGATCTGAAGAGACAGCTGGAGACGCTCGAGACGACGCTGCAGGAGCGCCTTGCCGCCGGCAACAAGGCCACAGAAGAGCTTGCTGTTGTTCAACGCCAGCTCAGCCAAACCGATATCCTGCTCACGGTACTGTACTCTACACATCCGTTGGCACGTCTATATGTATTAATTGTAGCAAGCGCACCAAGAGCTCGACCGAGAAGCGAAGCGCTGGGCCAAGGACCTTGAAGCGGAGAAGTGTGCCCTCGCGCGTGCCCAAGACGAGCTGCGCAAAGTCGTCGATGCCAAAGCTGACATTATCGCGAAGCTCAAGAGCTCGATGACGGAAGTGGATACGCTTCGTGCCGCTCTGTCGTCGGCGCTCGCAACCCAGAAGGAATCAACCGACGCCATTGTGAAGTTGCGGGCTGAAGGGGAGACGAGCCAGAGCCTCTTGGCCTCTCTCGCAGCCGACTTCCAGGCCCAAAAGACGGAGATTGAGCAGTGGAAGGCGACTGCCGAGGCGTTGACGTCGGACCGGCAGCAACTACTCTTGGATCTCGACACTGCCAAGGCCGAAGCCCTCATCTTGCAGGAGACGCGCAAGACGGAACGGGCGGTTGCCGAAAGCCACAAAGAGCATCTCTTCGAGACGCAAGCGGCGTCTGAGCTCTTGGCTGCCAAATTCGAGGCCCTTCAAGCCACCCACGCGGCCATTGTGACGGACAAAACGGCCCTTGAACTTACCGTCACAGTATTGTGTATTTATTTCCTGGCCTGGATTCATATCTTTGTTGTAGGTCCTCGCAGAAGAGAAGGCGTGTCTTGTCGAGGCTGCTGCGTTGAGTTCTGAAAAGATTGCCCATCTGGAGTCTGTGGCATCGTCATCGACGTCGGAGGTTGTGTCGCTCAAGACGGAACTTACGAAAGTCACGAATGACTACCATGCGCTGCAGCGGTCGTACGCAGTAACTGCTACAGAGAACACGGCCGCCCAAGCGCGGATTGAGGCTGAGCTCGCTACGGAGAAAGCTCGCTCTGCTACTGCGAAGAAGGCTGCCGATCAGGCCACGGTCTTGCGCAAGCTTGCTGAGGAGTCGGCGAGCGGGATCAAGACTAAAGTTGCGACGCTCGAAGCAGACCTCAAGCAGAAGGAAGTCGAAGCCAAAGAATGGAAACAGGCAAGTGCGACGCTCCGCAAAGAAGTTGCGGTGTTGACAGTTGCGAACGACAAGTTGGCCGCAGAATCCAAGCAGGCGTTGGCCGAAGCCGAGCGGCTGCACGCAGCGACGGACGCGATCAAGGAAGAGTGGATCCGCTTTCGCAAGGAGAACGGCAAGCTTGCTGAGACGATTGCCGAGCTGCGCAAGGCGCGCAAGGTCACCACCGAGGAGACCAAGACGCGTGAACTTCCGAGCGCACGCACTGCGACGTCGCAGTCGATGGAACAGCAGCGCAACTTGCTCATCGCCTTCATCGTCGTTGTTTTCATCAGCTGGACCATGAAGCAAATTTTGTTCTAGACGCCAATAAAGCTTTTCAATAGAAAGACCAAGCAAGGAAAATAACGTGTAGTTTATCGCCCTTGACCCAACGTAAACCATCAAAGTGCTTTGTATGAGCAACACCCGCATGAAGGAGAATCTCAGCGCGGATGATGTACTGGTAGTCGAGTTGCGCCCAAGCCACATCGTAGCTAGGCCATAAGCTGTTAACGGCCATCGTTGTAGCAATTGTGCCGGTAGCATCCTTGGTACCGGTACTTCTTGCGGCGCGCTGATCCGATCCCGCTGGCCGAAATTATCCGGTCATCCGGATGGGCATGGATCGGCGGGTGGCGGACGCGGAACATTTCCGGGTTTTAGCGTGTGGTCGGACGCATGTCGGAGGCGCCGATCCAGTACTGCGTGTGCCAGCAGGTGGACAGCGGTACGTGTGCATCTTGTCGACGAGATGCTTCTCCGTGTATGGTCGGTCACTCATGCTGGCTTCGTAGCGGGGCTCATGATCGAGTGCAGTCGCGGTACGGGCGGCTGCAATAGCTGGGTGCACCCCGCCTGCTGTGGACTCGTTCTTACCGAAACAGAGCTCGAGGCCATCGACAGCTACATTTGCCCGCTCTGCGAGTCGCCGGACGATGACTTTAGCAAGATGGCGGCGGTTAACACGAAGCGGGCCAACAAGATGGCGCTCAAGGCGCGCGA